AAAAAAAAAGCAATAGGCTGTTTGGACAACAGACTTCTGGATGGCCATGTATCAGGCATCCCTTACGAAAGAGTGTTGCACGCTCTCCCATGCTATGCAACACTCCCAGCAGTGAATTTTGGCCTGTTCACACATCCTCACATACTTGAAGTCAATCTCATCATTCTGTTCACGTGCATCCAGAGGAACCTGGGTAGGGCAGTGGGCTACGCAACTGCCTGCCAAGTGCAGATGTCAGTGGTTCAAACCTACCAACTGCTCCACGGGAGCAAGATGAGGCTCCCTGCTCCATTCCCACCCTAGAGGGCCGTTCTTCTCTGTCCTATCACAGGTGTCTATGAGTTGGAACTGACTGGACAGGAGTGGGGGTGGGTGGGTATGTGCATAAAAATAGTATGAAAATGTTACGCTTGATCTTATTTCTGTAACCAAGGTATAGTCATGGTCAGGAAGTCATAGAATGAGTTCAGCAGTTCCTGATCAGTGGAAAATAAACCACTGAAATTGTGTGGTTGTTTCTACTGAGTGGGTAATACCTACCCTAGCTTGCATATGAACGGGGTTGGGAGGGAATGGCATAGTGAGCTGTTTTTTGTGCGTTGTACACACAAAAATGATGTGTACAAGAGGGGGAGCTTCGTGCAGTTGGCCAATAGGTATGTACAACCCAAAGAAATGCACTGCCATCGAGCCGATTCCAAAAGGATGGAGTAGACTCCAATAGGACCTAGCAGAACTGCCCCTGTGGGTTTCCGAGGCTGAGACTCTTTATGGGAGCAGAAAGCCTCATCTTTCTCCTGAGAAGTGGTTGGTGAATTCAAACTGCTGACCTTGCAGTTACCAGTCCCCCTAGTTCCCAGTCACACCACCAGGGCTTCTAGAACTATCCCCAGTATATGTGACTCATGCAGAGGTGAAAGCCCCACTCTGATGGTGCTCAGATCCCTACCAATTATGCTAGCGATGCAATTCAGTTAAATGATTCGCTCTTTCTTTCCCCTGGCTTAACCCAGAATCAGGAGCCCCAGATGGCACCGTGGGTTCAGGGCCAGGCTGCTAATGGAAAGGCCAGTGGTTTGAACCCACCAGCCACTCTCCACTCGGCAGGTGAAAGATGAGGCCGTTCTGTCTGGTCAGGTCAGGTTGCTATGGATCAGCGTCACCCCCAGGGCAGTGGTTGTTAAATGGATACTACATTCTTAATAAGGAAAGGGTTTCTTCCTTCCCTCTTAGTCTTTACTTGCTTGGGCTTCTTACTCCGCCTCGTGGCTTAGACTTGGTCTGAAATGAGCTATGGGGCACCCTGAGTCTGCACTCCTCTAGCCATCTGTCTGCGGGCGGCTCTTTACCACAAAGACAGCTGTGCTGACCCCCACATCTGCTTTCCTATGTTGCACCTCAGTACTGTAGGCTGCCACCTGCCCCTTTCAGTCTCAGAAGTGTGATGATAAATACGAAATGTACCACTGAGCACATTCCCAAAGACAAGGAGCTCTGGTGGCATAGTGGTTACATGTTGAACTGATAACTGCAAGGTCAGCAGTTCAAAACCACCAACTGCCCCCAAGGGAGAAAGACTGGATTTTCTACTCCTGTAAACAGTTAGTCTCAGAAACCCACAAGATTCAGTTCTACCCTGTCCTATGGGCTCTCTATGAGTCGGCATCGATTTGATGGCAGTGAGTGTGGTTTTGGTATTCCTACAGATATAATTTAGCCAAATCATAGATTTGTTTGCTTAGGCTACATGGGGTCCTCTTCTGGGTAAGGTCGAGAGCCAACCACTTCCTTCCCTGACCCAGTCAGGGGGAAAAGAACGGAGATGCAGGCTGGTTTCCTCAGATATCAACATCCCCACAGCTTAGTATGCACTTCCACCCAACCATCTGCGTTTAGGGACCTAATGCTTCCAGGCTGCTTTGCCTCGAACCCTGTGGCTCTCAACCTTCTTCATGCCGCCACCCTTTCACACAGTTCCTCGTTTTGGTGACCCCCAACCATAAAATTATTTTCGTTGCTACTTTATCACTGTCATTTTGCTACTATTATGAATTGGGCGACCCCTGTGAAAGGGTCGTTTGGCCCCCCAAAGGGTCACGACCCCCAGGTTGAGAACTGCTGCAATCTCATCAGAACGCTCAGAGGACGTGGATTCGACAAACACACATGGACCACAAGTGGACCGGGCGGAGTGAGGCAGGGAAGGAGGGTAGGGTGGGAACCTAACCTGACATGCAACTATCATGAACCAGAACAAGAGAGACAGTGAGTCCTCTGTGAATATGCAGACGCATGAAGAAGCATTTCTCTGAAATAAGAACTTCGGACAAGGAGGTCTGCCTTTGTCCTCGCAGGGCGATGATAGGTGGACAGTGGGTGGTGGTGGTGGAAGACTGTCATTGCAGCCAATGGTAGAGGATGTTTAAGGAGCCGGTTGCCGGGGGCATAAGATAAGCCTGCAGCCTTTACTGAAACACAAGAAGTCATGGCAACAACTTTAGGAGAGGTAGTAGCATTTTGCTTAAAATGGTGTCCTTTCGAACCCTCCCTATCACAGCTCAGCCCTCCCAAGCAGGGTGGGCTTCCTAGGGAACAAAGGGCCAGGGCTCCTTGGTGAATCGGAAACCCAAGGGGCCAAAACAAAACCTGTCAGACCTGATGCCACCAGTTTCTCCAGCACAGCGGGTGCCAAGGCCACAGGGCCTCTGGCTGCAGAGAATCTGCAGGGCTCACTGCACACTGGAGAGTCAGGCTGAAAGCCCAGGCTGTTACGGAGCGCAGTCTGCGGCCCTTTAGAGAAGGGATGTTTGACACCCTGAACTCTGTCAACTGCCAAGAGCTTCCATTTTGCCCCCTTTACCTGTGTGTCCCCCTCTCATACACTCGCCCCCGGGAGAGTATGCCGCTTCATTTTTTCTGAGTTTGGTTCAGAAATGCTGGCCAGATGTTGTTAAGTTGACAAAATCTCTCTTAGAGTTATTTTCAACCTGGTCCAAACCAAGCCCACTGCCACAGAGCGACCCTCTGACAGGTGTCTGGGAGTGTAAATCCTTACAGGTGCTGACAGCCTCATCTCTCTCCTGTGGAGCAGCCGATGGGTTTCAATCACTAACTTTGGGGTTTGCAGCCCAATGCTTAGCCCACAGTGCCGCCAGCCCCATTATTTTTAGGCACAACAGTGTCATCTTTAAAGATGAGAAATTTCTGGACGCCACCATGTCTCCCTGCGAGTAGGTTTCAGGCCCACTTTGGTGACTCTGGCTAGATGCAGGGATGGGGCTCTGTGATGTACTGCTGGTGAGTACACCATCTCCCACAAATCCTACACACCCTAAGATCTGGCAAGTTCCCTTCTAGGGAGGCCTCTACTTGTAAGGTCCATGGCAACAGAAAAAGTCCCACAGGAGCAGGTCTGTATATGCAGTGTCTTATCCCTCCAACTTCGCACAGAAATAAGTGCTCAGTAAGTAACTGCTGAATGAATTTCCTTTTCCTCGAACTCCCGACGGGACTTCTAGTTGTGTGCAGCTGGTCCCCTGCTACAGGTTTGAACCTGTTAAAGGATCGAATCTCACCACCCCCCGCCCCGCCGCCCCAATGTATGTTGTAAATTCTAACTCCTACAGCCCTGGATGTTACCCTATTTGGGAATAGGGTCCTATTTGGTTCTGCTGAGGAAGCCATGCCAGTGCAGACTGTGTTTTAAACAGGTTGCTTTTGAAATACAAAGAGCAGATTAGACACAGAAGCTAGCTGGCAAGAAGGAACGTCAGACAAATGGCAGGTAGAAATGCCAAGAAGAATGCTAGAGCAGCCCAGGCCAGGGTTCTCCGCTAGAGTGGTCAGAGAGAGCCTTTTCCCAGAGCTGGTGCCCAGAACTCTCATCTAAATTGTGAGAAAATAAACTTCTGTCTGTGAAAGCCACTCACTTGTGGTATTTCTGAGAGTAGCACTAAGACAGTAAGGCAGGGCCTAAGCCCATGGCTGGTCCCAGGATGGACAGGTGGCCCATAGTGGCCCAAGCAAGCAGGCTCCTCCGGAAGTCCCGACAGTGGAGTCAGCAGGCCCTCCCTTTGGAATTCTGACCTGAAGAATCTAGACGTGAGGGTGCCAGCAGACAACCTTTCTGTAAGTGGAGTTCTTGCTAGAGCTGCCCGTGGCACTTCCCAACTATATTAACTGCAGACACCCTTCTGTGTTTAAGCTCTCGTGAGCTGTTTCTGCCTTCTGCCACGACAGAGGACCAATCAGCAAGGGACACGAAGGTGTCTACAGAGTGGTCCCGGCAGCTTTAAAAATGCTAAGTCAGACAAGGAAAAGAACCCCAACAGCCAACCTTGGTTATGCTACCATCAGGCTCAATCAAAAGTGAAGGGCCCTTTCCGCCATCCCTCCAGCCGGGGCAAATATTCGTCGTCTGCTCAGTTTAAAGGCGACTTATAAAAATATGAACTTTTAATAATAATAATTTATAAATGATCAAGGGTTCATGAGGGAGAGGGGAGTGGGGAGAAGGGGAAAAATGAGCTGATACCAAGGGCTCAAGTAGAAAGCAAATATTTTGAGAATGATGATGGCAACAAATGTACAAGTGTGCTTGACACGATGTATGTAAGTATGAATTGTGATAAGAATTGTACGAGCCCCCAATAAAATGATAAAAAAAAAAAAGATCAACTTTTTCCTGGGATAAATTATCAGTCTAAGTACACACATATTTGGGGGTGAAAAATCAAAGAAGACTGGAAGGATACACATCCAAGTGTAAACAGTGATTATCTTTTGGCACTCTGATTTGTGTTGGTTCAGGATTTCTGTGTGGGTAGTGTGTGTGCATGATCTAGGTATTTGGCACTGAGCATGCTTTACAACAGGGCAGGGAGGGGGGGGACTCCCAATGACAGAAGTCCATGGGTACACACTGCATTGAAAGGCAGCCAGCTCTGAGAGGGTGTTGATTTCAGTGGTATTGACTTGAGGCTGGCCCAGGCTTGGGAAAGGAGTGGGAACAGACACTAGTGTCATGGCTGGTCAGTGCTGACTGCCACCTTCAGGAGGATCCTAGAGTCTGATCATTCCCAGGTAACAACTCTGCAACACGACCTGTGAAGAGACTTGCCAAGTTGGACATGTTCCAATATGACATGTACCCACAGATTGTTTCTCCCCCTACATCACATGCACACACTAGCCACAGAGAAACCCTTCAACAAACCCCAGTGCTAAAAGAGAATCACTGTCCCCCTCCATGGCCATCAAATCAATTCTGTCTCACAGTGACCCTAGAGCAGCGGTTCTCAACCTGTGGGTCTCGACCCCTTTGGGCGTTGAACAACCCTTTCACAGGGGTCACCGGATTCAGCACAGTAGCAACATGACAGTTATGAAGTAGCGGCGAAAATAAGGTTATGGTTGGGGTCACCACACGAGGAACTGCGTGAAAGGGCCGCAGCGTGAGGAAAGTGGAGAAGCACTGCCCTGGAGCCTAGTAGAGCTGCTGCCAGGTTTCCAAGGCAGCAGATCTTTATGAGAGCAAACGCCACCTCTTTCTCCAAGGAGCAGCTCATGGGTTTGAACTGCTGACTTTGTGGTTAGCAGCCCACTACGCCAGCAAGGCATAATCACGGTCCAGTCTCCTATAAATTGCTGAAATTGTAAAAAACCACGAGAAAACTCTTCACGTAGGTTTGTTTGCAATACCCATAAGTTCTGTTTGCCCTGAAAGAATAGTCCCAAACTGGGAAGGGTAATGTTCAAATACTAACTAAACTGACCAGAAGGCTATAAAAATTTACCGACCAAGGGGCTTCATAAAGTTCATGGGAAAATAGAATGAAATAATGATATAATTTCACCATGAACTTTCCCGAGCCCCCTCGTAACAAACCCATACCGCTAAGCCCTTGGCTGGCTGCTTTCGAAGGCCTGGCCCCGCCCGTCCTCTGGTCTCACCTGGTGCAGACACTTCCGGGCTTTGTCATACTCGCTCCGCAGGCAGTAGGCGCTGCCAAGGTTGAAGAGCATCACGGTCCTCGCAGAGTTGACAGAACTTGGGTAGCATTGAGGGGCCCGCTTCCCGGCTGGGGAGGAGGAGCGCACACTATGTGGGAGAGGCAGAGCCCCGGGCAAGGGTGTCTCCCCATCCACTACCCAGCCACCCGCCTGCCAGGAGCATAGCACTGCCCCCCAGGCTCCCATAGGACACAAAAAGCTGATTCTTTGGGATGCCAGCCAGGCGCTTAAATATTTACTCTGAACGTAGAAACGGCTTACTTACAGGATTCCATGGCTTCATTTTCACCTTTGTCTGATCCTACAAAAGACATGGAAAAGAGATTCGAGGGGGGGCAGGAAAACAGTTGACTTTCTGAAAAATGAATTTTCTTTTAGGAAACGGCTGTCAAGTATCAAAGCAATTTGTCTTATTTACTTTTCATGTGGTGGTTCTATTAAAAGACATCCAACATGCTACCACCCACCATTGCCTGAGGCCTGAGAAATAACCTTTCATAAGGTGCTTGCCACTTAGTCTCGCATCCTCACAACACTTAAACTATGATTTACAAGTGATTTTTGAATGCAATTATTTGTACTCCCCCTGGGGTGTGAAATCACTCCAAAAAGAAAAGTACAGCGGCAGTACCAAAACAAATGGTCTTAACCCCATCAGCTTGTCCAAATCAATTCTCAGGCTCACTTAGCAATTACTTCAAAATCAGAACAGTCTCAAAGTGGAGAGCTGCCGACAACTTCCTTCCCTTTACGGCTCTGCTCCAAGTCTCCACCCATCCTGAATCCCAGCAGGGCGGCAGCGGAGGCAGGCTGGCTCTGCCAGGCTGTGCCCTCATTAACCTTGGTCCTGCTCATTCGAAGAGATCCCTAAGGAGACGTCGGTGACATTCTCCGGGTTCAAGTGGGTGATGGCATCCGATATTCTGTCCAGAGAAATGAGGGCTTCTGCAGCATATAAGTGGCCCAGGAACCTAAAACGGAAAGGCAGAGTTCACGCAGACCAGCATGTCATCACAGAGTCCGGTGTACTGTGACACACTTCATACATTTCAGGTCTCTTTGAATGGAAATCTAGCTTAGAGAAATGATTAAAGGGCATCATACATTTTTGCTTTTTAAAAAATCTTAAAATAGGCAACAGCTTTTTTATTAACTCAGAAAGTTCAAAACGGACAAATGTGTGCTCTTAATTACACAGAGAATAATGCTAGCATCTAAAGGCAGTAGGGCTCTAAAGTGAGAGGCAGGCCCCACAGTGGGAGGGGTGTGGGTCCCTCGTGTGGGGACTCGGGACCCAACGCCTCCAGCCTGTGCTGTGGGAAGAGTTTGAAGGTGCTGGTGTGACCAGTCTGGCTGGAGGAACCTTCTGGGGATTCCAAAGGCTTCTTTCCTGATTCCAAGAGTTGGAGTCCAATTCACAGTGATCCTCACAGCGGGCAGAGTAGAACTGCTCCAGAAGGTTTCCCAGGCTGCACATCTTTATGGAAGTAGACAATCACCACTTGCTCCTTGGGAGCAGAGGGTAGGTTTGGAAATCTTCACATGCTTGCCTATTGCACCCCCAAGGACTCCTTGACAAGGTCTCTCAGGCCCATTCACGTCGCGAGAGGACGTCACCTGAGTCACAGATTGGAGACTCTAAGTCTGCATCAGGAGCCCTGGAGGCATAGTGGGTTATACCGCAGTGTCAGCAGTTCGAAACCATCGGCTGCTCTGAGGAAGAAAGATGAGGCTTCCTTCTCCCTTCGCCTACAGGGCAGTTCTACTTTGGTTAGGGCCTCTGAAAGTCGGAATGGGATCGATGGCAGTGAGTAATAGGGACAGAACCACAGGAAGCATGAACAACACTCTCTTAGTGCTGCATAGAGCACTGGGGGCTGTGGATAAAATTTTCCCTGTCAGTATTACACATGCATGCTAATTCCTACTCAATTTAAATGAAAGAAAAGATGCGAAGTTCTTCAGAATAGTTTACATGTGTGGAAAGACTGAGCCTCGTGAAATGGAACGGTTTAGAAAATACTCTTTTCAAAATTTCCTGTTTGAAAAACAATAAAAATAAATCAATCAATAAATTTCCTGTTTGTATACGTCAGCTGTATATTTCAAAACATTTATGATGCTGACCAAACTTCTCCCTCTGGGGCGTGAGTCTGCTCCTTACAGACTCATCTGGTGAGAGTTCGACTTGGTTGGCCTCTCGTTCCTTGTACATTTCCACTCTGCCTGGAGGTGCAACACGTGGGGAAAATAAAACACTACTACCAAGATACAAGTTGAAAAAATGTTTGTTGGGAATCAGTTGCTTTCCCTAGAAAATGTACCAGATGCCCTCAGAAAGTTTGTGGAAACATTTCCATCACCTTTTGATTGCACCTTTGGAAACCCCCTGGTGTATTCCACTCGGATGGCACAGGCCAATGGGAAAGCTTCCAAGCAGACTGGCCAACCGCGGACACGTACTGAGGGCAAGTCACACTTACTTCAGAGATCCTGACAGCTTGGGCTGCTGAAGAAGTTTATCTGCGTGACTCAAAGACACGAGGTTGTCACCCAAAGCCAGCGCCACGTAAGCACTGCAGGCGAGGATGGAGCACCTAGAACACGAGAAGGAGGGGCTGAAAACCGGGGCCACAAAACCCACACAGTCCCGAGTAGAGCTGCGATGTGGTCACCGGGAAGAAGACGGGAAAGCGCCCTGCTGTCAGCAAGAAGGAAAGGGCTTATGAAACCCTGTCTGAAGCTCTGCTTGGCTGCCCACCTAATTCTCCTCCTGCCCCAACCAGTTCACACCTCCATCCCATTGCCCAAGAGAATACTCTCTCGGAGTTACACGGTTAGCCTATAAAATACAATGTCCTCAACGGATGAGTGAGCACTTAAACCCATAGAAAATTTCTTTTAGTATCCTGGAAATAAGACTAAACACACAGATGTTATTCTTTTTTTTTTTTTTGCCCCTTTGATGTTATTCTTTCTACATACATTTATCGTTTTGTTGAGAAATACAATTAACTGATTGAAAAGCCTGTACAGCACAGCCTATGTGATTAAGTGTTCCTTTTCTGAACATATTAAGAAGTCTATTGTTCTTGCTCTAAGAAATATTATTCATGGTAACAAAAAATTAATTCCGGCAACTAATGTATAAGTGTGCTTTACACAATTGATGTATGTGTGGGCTGTGATAAGAGTTGTATGAGCCCCAATAAAATGAGGGGGAAAAAAAAGAAAATGGGGGGGGGAAGAGTGTTAACTGTGGGTAAAATTTTCTCAAATTCTTAAAACACATCTCACCTATTGGTATTTAAAATCAAATGAGGTGATCTACGCCAAATGTGTTTATAAAATTGATAACCGTAACACATGGCTCTTAGTAGATGGTGAACTATTATATTTTTTACTTCTTTTCGAATTTTGTTTCTTTTCTATTTAGACTTGCTAGAGGTTTATGAATTTTTAAGGTGTTTTATAAAATAAACACTTCCTTTTCCTCAAAAACAAACAAACAAACAAACAAACAAACAAACAAACAAACAAACAAACAAACAAACACACATTAATCCATGCAGCTACAATGATCCTAAATATTCAAGAGAGGTGGGGTGGAGAGGCTGACTATAATAAACACATGTGAAGGTAAAATTTTAAGTTAAAAAAAAAAAAATTTACCCCCTGCTCGCACTCTCAGTCCAGTGCTCTCCCCTGCCCTCGGCCCACGCTGTGCGTGGACCTGGCTGGTAAGATCATGGCCATCCAGGAGGTCTGTCTATCATCTGACTCATGGAAGCAGCAGTGAAGAAACCAAATGACATATTATATTGGGTAAATCTGCTACAGCGGACCTCTTTAATATGCAAGGATGTCACTTTGAGGACTGAGGTGCACATGATCCAAACCATGGTATTTTCAATCACCTCACATGCATGTACGTGAAAGCTAGACATTGAATAAGGAAGATGGGCGAAGAATTGATGCATTTGAATTATGGTGTTCTCAAAGAATACTGAATGGACTACCAGAATAACAAATAAATAGGTATTGGGAGAAACAGTCAAAATGGACCTTAAAACTGAGGATGATGAAACTGCACTGCACATACTTCGGGCATGATATCAGGGGAGAGACCAGTCCCTGGAAAAGGATACTGTGTTTGGTAAAACAGAGGGTCCGTGGAAAAGAGAAAGAAAGTCAGTGAGATGGATTGGTACAGTAGCTGCAACAATAGCTCAAACCGAACGATAGTTGTGAGGAAAGTGCAGGCCTGGGCACAGTTTCATGCTGCTGTATATAAGGTCTCTATTAACTGCAACTGCCTCGGGACACCTAACAGCAACAAGATCATTTGGCTAAAAGTTGAGCCATGAAGGGGGAGTTCAATTCCATGTTTGAATGGTATCTAAGAACACGTCTCCATTGGACCAGTAAGCCTGGACCTCTATGATCTGTTGCTCCACATTTCTCTCCCACTCTACATACGATCTTCTCATGTGGTGCCTTTCAGAGTGGTTGATAGTGGTCGTCAGGTACCATCAAGCCCAGTGGTTCTCAACTTTCCTCATGCCACCACCCTTTAATATAGGTCCTCATGTTGTGGTGACCCCCCAACCATAACATTATTTTAATTGCTACTTCATAACTGTCATTTTGCTACTGTTATGAATTGTAATGTAAGTATCTGATATACAGGATGTATTTTCATTGTTACAAATTGAGCATAATTAAAGCACAATGATTGATCACAAAAAAACAATATGTAATTTTATATTGTGAAATATTTATTTCTAATTACAAATAAATAAAATTTTGTCTTGAAAAAAAAAATTAAGTTACACCGATTGTGCTAAGTTGGATTGGAAACCTAAACTTGTTTGGTTTTCTTCTTAAAGGGCGGCTCATTTAAAACAAGCCTCCCTGAAGACTTGACACTAATAGATCACTTGAATGGTAAACACTGGCTCCACAAAGCAATCTTAAAATAAACCCGTCAGGTAGAAATGAGGCCTGAATGGCTGACCACAGATGATCCAATGTTGATACGGAGTTCTGAGTTATGTTTCCAAATTACAATACGTACGCCACACACCACTAAGTGCTTCTTGGTAGGCGGTGATTGTGGCCCACGGGAGAATGGGATGACCAGAGCACCAGTCTCCCCTAATGCTCGGAAGGTCTGGCTAGAAATGGCACGCCCAGGGAAAACGGAGTTTGGCAGATTTACAGCAGTCAGCTGTTTCCTCGCACTGTCCTCGGGCTCCGAGTTGCTGGAATCTTGGAAAATTATCCACTGAAGGAAAAGGAGCAACAGAAAAGGAAAGGAGGCAAAGGAACGTCAAGTGTATGGCCTTGAGGTAACACAACTCCTGTTTCCCCAGGCAGCAAATGAGACGCGGAGACAGGAAATGCATCTTCTAGCTTGGCATGCACGCTTGAAGTGAGAGCAGCACTCGACACTGTGGCCTTCGCACCCACTGCACACCACGTCCTACCACACTGTCCTGTAGCAGTTCACAAGACCTTCCTCACAAGGAAGTTCGCACATGGAAAAAGGTGACATGATGCTTTTTCTAAGTTCCATGCATACAAAGCATGGGCATCCGACCTTGTTAAAAAGGGGGCAGAGAGAAGCCGATACAGACATTACAGACAGACGTTTGTGAGAGCAGTAAAGATCCACACAGCCACCCAGGGTTTTTGCGGTTGTACGTCTTTGTGGGAGCAGCTAGCCTCATCTTTCCACCGAGGAATGGCTAGTGTGCTTGAACTACTTACCTCTTAGCTAGCAGCCCAACGTCTGGCCAGGGCTCCTTTTTGTTTGTGTGTATCACCTCAGATCTGAACTACTGTATGTTCACAGAAGAGAGGAATTTGAGAGCAGGCAGTAGTGCCACTTCCAAAAGGGTCAGTCAACATTCCACGGTCTCCAGGAGTTGGCTTCACAAGCAAGGCTGCCCTGTGGTCACAGCCCTTAGGGGGTGAAGGGGGAGCCCCCTTCTGATGAAAAATCAGGGGAACTGAGGTTGGAACTGGCTAATTACTTCTAGTTTTCAGAAAGCCCTTCAGTGGTTACTTCTGCATAATGAGGTCAGAGAGACGTTGTTTCTTCTTTTGGTTTATTTGTGGTTATTTTCTTTGTGTGTGTGTGGTTATTATCTTAATAATTTAGATCCACAACTAACACCCACGGAAGCAGCAACCAAGAAATCCAACAACACATTGCATTGCACAAATACTGTATGATCACACTTAAATGAAAGACCTATAATGGGCAAATGCTTAGCTTCCAGATCATTCAATTGTGCTCATGCAAAAGCTGTCATAGACCAAGAGGCACACATTCAAACACAACAAGGGGATATTGCATGTTTAAAATCAGGAAAGGTGTGCATCAGGGTTGTATAAGCTCGCCACACTTATTGACTCTGTGTACTGAGCAAGAGATCTGAGAAGCAGAACTATATGAAGAGGAGTGTGGCAGCATCAGGATTGAAGAGACTCACTGGAACCTGTGACATGACTGCTCCCAGGGAAGAGGATCTGAAGCTCCTACCGATGAAGATCAAAGACTACAGCCTTTAACAGGGATTACACTGAACATAAAGAAAACAAAGCTAGACATCTTCACCGTGAACAAAGAAATGATCCAAGTCGTCAAGGATTTCATTTTACTTGGCTCCACAATCAACCTTTATGCAAGCAGCAACCAGGAAATGCAAGGGTGTATTGCAGCGGGCAACCGTGCTACACAAAACCTCTTCAAAGTGTTAACGAGCAGGAAGGAGCAGTCAAGATGGCATGCAGATAGAATCACCCGCCTGGTGCTTCTGTTGTTGGACCAGACATTAAGAGACAGGCATGGCAAGGAAGACTGGGGAGAAAGCAATGGGACTCACGATTCTGGAGGGACCTGGGGGAGGTGGAGGTGGGGCTGGGAAGGAGTGGTGAGCAAACAATGCCATAGATGGAAACAACTAAGGAATTAATAGCAGACCACCAGTCCAGAACCTGTATGGATGATGATCACAAACTTTAATGCCTATATCTATCTTTAACTTTCCCAAAGGTTCATTCGCAAACACCAGAACAATTTCTCACCATGTGCAAATATCCCCAAACCAAGCTCAATGCTGTGAAGTCTAGAGGACAAAGTGTAACTGCCTCAGAGATTTCCAAGTCTTACAGGAGAAAGACTCATTTTTCTCCTGCAGAGTGGCTGGTGGATTCAAACAGCTGACCTTGCGGTGAGCAACCCCATGCATGCACAACCAGCTGTAGCACCAGAGTGATGCGATGACCACCGCCATCATTTTGAGTTGCTTTATATTGGAAGTGACTGGATGGCAGTGGGTTTGAGAAAGTCAACAGAAGCAGACTGCCACATCTTTCTCCTATAGAATAGCTGGTGGATTTGAACTACTGAAATTTTGAATGCTGACTGTTTAACCACTGCTACCAGGGCTCAGTTTTATCATGTACATAAGTGCTGAACAGGTACTCGCTAAAAACCTCAGGTTTCAACTGTTTAAATGGATTTATCCAAGCTTGCAGATCCCCACTTTGACAAAAGCCCACCTGGCGGGAGCAACAGCCTCTTTCT